AACGTCAAACACCTGTAGACGGTTGGCCGTCGGTTGGTCGGAGGGACGAAAGCAATATTAATAGTTCTCAATGAGGAGTAATATCATCTTCAATATCGCCAGAATCGACGGTATCAACAGCTCACAGTGAGGACTACACGAGATGAAATACCTTTACAATTCCAACAACTTGCGCTAGTCACTCTCGCAGTGGTTGATTCTGGTAATAGATAATTCCTGGAAATCATTGTGCCTGTCTATTTGACTCCTTTTTCTTTCGTCCGCATTCCAAAAGCTAAAAAACTCATAAAATCTTAAGTAATCTCAATATCACTAATTTGGAAATTTTGCCTTGTACGCCTGAATACACTGTCCAATTATGTTCCGTCGTATGACACATACGGCAGACAACTGTTTAAGCTATTAGATCAGTCTATGAATGTTGTAAACATTGCTGTATGAATCTAATTTTGCTACAAGGTCGAGTCCCCAGAAGTTCACGGTACGGCAATGGATGACATCAGAGGTCGACGACTCTGTTGAGGGGTCTCGCAAACTAATTTCACGATTATAAAATTGACACAAATTAATATAAACAATTGAAATGGTAGACATCCGCCGACAAGATGGCATAGTTAGCTTTTTCCCGAATCTTTACGACTGTCGAAGAAAAACGCACTGGAGTGCAGAAGTAACTAACTAGTTCTTGTTCAGATGTAGGAAATATCACATTATAGCGCTGATATTGGCGAAGAGTATATTACATAACGTAGATAGAGATACGGTTTATTATTGAGTCGGTACCCATATATCAAGAGACTCTACACATGAGCTATGAAAGTTTCATCCAGATCTTTCTTATAGGCTGTTCTTGAGTCCAAATGGGAGCAGGATTTTCATCCCTTTGAAACTAGGATCTTTCATTTATATGCAGAGTTGGATATCATTGTGGATTTTCAGCATCTTTTTTGCGATCTAGTCAAGTTTCTTTTACTTTACGTTTATGCTATGTCCCTTAGAAATAAAAGCAAGATCGTTTGATTGAGAAAGTGAAACATGAGTGCTCAACGACAAAAAGTCAGTCCATAAAATAGTACGGTCAGCAGCAGTTCGAGGTGTGTGCTAACCTTAAGCATTATATAGAACAGAATGGGAGCAATCAAAGCAAACATATAAAAAAATGAGAAGGGGACACATCCAGGTTGCTACAAAAGGACCTGATATTGCTAATACAGTTTTCAATCAGGTCCTGAACAAGACTAGTATAATTAATTGCATACACATAGAAGACAGGTCATCCCTGCAATGCGGAGGTATACTCAACCTCATCCTAGAGCAACAGACCTAAGTACATATTCTATTTACGCAAAACACATTTAACAAGAAAATATCATCCAAAAATGTCCCCTTATCCAGAAACAGTGTGTTGAAATTCTAATTTCGAAATCGATAAACAACGTACCTTTGTAGTGATTTAAGATGCTTTTGTCAGATGGTTCCTTTGAAGAAATATTTTGAATATACGAGGTGAAATCCAAAAATCCTCGTATAAAATTTAAGCTCGTATTACGATAAAAATACTCCGAAATAAAACAGTTCGAAGTATACAAAGTAGGCACTGCATCACGACGTTGTTTGCAGAATATTCATATTCTTCCTCTAGTCAATGCCATCAGTGACGTAGAGAACAGTATTCTGCAATTGGAAAGGGGCTTATGAATGTATTTATAGTACCTTATTATTTTTTGAAATACGCTATTGACACGGACCTTTGAATCATCTTGTAAAATTCTTGTTCGCTTCAGTCTACCACATACTGTATACTTATAACGACTTCAACCATTGACACATTTCGCTTCGACATGCACTCCCCTCGATAACATCAATCGAGTTATTGGACGTAAGGGATACGAGCGAAGCCTTGCTTGGCGTATGTCTCCCTAACCCAGCAGGACGAAAAATAAATGTATCACATACCAACTGGCGATATCCTTCCAAGGTCACCAGTTACATGAGATTCTTAATTAGTTTTACTTCTCATATAATCCACTGACTTGCTTCTTCAACGCGCAGTGGCTCAGAGTATGGGCTCTTTCATTTGCAAACATCCATTGCACCACGGGGTATCTGAGCTTGCAAAGCTGTTAAATGTACGTGAAAAGAACGTATATTATATGTATTTTATAATGTTTGGTTATTATCGATAACTTATATTGCACACCAATATTATTGAGTCTTTGCGTTCTTTACACGTTTCTACTCAGCTGGACGCTATCTGATGGAGGACGCAGTTGTGAAGTGTGTAGAACTTTGGTCGACGTGGTTAATTAAATCATTTTATCTGGACCCACAGTCTCTAAAGCACATTGAAAAGAGTAGTTTAGATGGGCTCTGTCAGCAGTTTTTTTGTGTTCACCCGCCTCAAAACGACCCCAAAAGTTACAATACCTTTGTACCAGAGTTCCTCATGAAATAGTCTTGTCAAATACCATCCGGAAAGCTAATTTTTCCTGTGAAAAAAATCGATAAAAGACAATGCAGAGTAATATTTTTTAACAAAAAACATTCGTGCAGGTGCAGTCTTCAACTCGGATTTTATTGCCATCAGCACTCATGCTTCTTGTTAAAATATTACTTAGCAACGTGTTTTTCCGATTCTTTTTCGGAAAAATTAGATGCCCTTATGGTATTACTTATGATAATTTAGCTAAAATAACTAAAATATATCACGACTGAATTTGGGTTCGCAGATACTAACAAAAGAATCCGTAATGGCTGTTTGGTCAATGAGAGTCAGGTAAAGATTTAATTTGGTTCAAGGATACGGATAGCGATTTGAGCACTATTACAAAAGAGATCATGAAATTTTAATACGTAAAAAGCGGGAGTGGCTCTGAATATATTGCGAGTTGATACAGATTGCTGCGTACAAAAAATATTTGTAACTACCTTAGTCGCTACATTAAAAATGTTAGTTTGACGCTTTGATAGATATACCAGAACTTCGGTTTATTTCACGTAGTAGTGATAGTGAAAGCATTTGTTTTACAAGACTCAACAAATTTAGCATAATGTCTCGTAAGTAAAATTGCTCATTGACATCATAAAGGATCAGTTTCATTTTAATCTGCGGAAGTTATATTATTGCAACCAGTGATTCAAGAGACGCGTTAGATCTTGGTTATATGCTTAATTATAAAAGTTCACCAAATTGTATATTTCCTAAATGAGTTTTAACAAATATAGTACAACCGCTGCTCTGGTGCAAAAGTACAATGCAAAGATGTAAGTTTTATTAGTAGCGAGGGCCATAAAGTGACGACGTTGTCGGAGGCTAAGAAATAAGACTGTAAATCGTAATTGGTACGAAGGAATGCCTTGTGTAACGACCATTGTGTGATGGAGTAGCATTGGACCTAAGCGGCACTCAATCTATAAGCCGCCTATGACTGTGTACGGTGGGTGTTGTGTTTTACTGACTTGCGTGAACAACGTGGTATGTATACATGGTGTATGGATTTGAGCATTCAGAGATTCAGCACACGGTAGGCTTTGACTGCGCATTCATGAGAAATGGTAGTTATTAATTGCCCCCCTCTCATTGTTCGTCGCACCTGGGCCGTGCTGTCAAGGAAAATGAAACAGCGCTGTACATGGTTGGTTGCATGGACGAAAGCCGTTTTCACTCATTTGGTCAGGCATTTCGAGGAATTCAAATTCTACGCATCACTAGACTGGTCAGTTTTATGTCCACTGCAACTATTGAAGTGCTTATTACGTAAAAATTTCACTAAAAAAATATCTCCACCAACAATTTGTAGTTGACAAGAGAGTTAAGAATTCTGAAGCATTAAGGAAAAGCGATTGACGTCATGTGAACAACAGAATTTTTTGCTAGCTCTCAGTCCATAGAGTTGCCAGATTTACATATTTCTCATGAAAATTAGTTATATCTGTTACTCTTTCACATCAAAAAGTTTACAGTCACATCATCGTGAGATGAAACACCGGCTATTGTTATTCATACCATTTAAATATCATTTAAAATGAAGGATATTGGAGTCTTTTTTTACAACGCGCGTTTCGAAACAACAGTTCAGAAGCTACTTCCTGCTACAGTGCCTCTCTCTGCATTGGTCCGACGTCGTTTGCAAATTGTATGTCGGTTGGAAAAAATCTGCCGAGAAAGGAAGTATCATATCGTATATCGCTTCGAAATAACAGCTGTGATAATATTTAGATCCACTATACGTGGAGTTATGTACGAGTGGAAATAATATCTTTTTGATAAAATTCCAAGGACATAATGCTCACAGTAGACAGATGATATTGAACGTTTATTTGACTAGTAACATGGTATGCTGACTTGTGAGGTATACACATGCGGGATATAGAAAAATTAACGTTCAATAAGGGAATGTCACCGACTTCAAATAGTGTAAAGAATCATCATAAATTCTGGAAACACTAAAAAATGAGCAATATGTGTTCCGCTCTCCCTTAATTGTATCTTTTAGGTTT